CACGTATGTCCTTGGCTAGTCTCTTTCTCTATCCTCACAAATGGGCCAAAGCTCACAAACAGCAGGCGGCATTCTGGGAGGATACTTCACGTCGGCTCCCCTGTCAGGCAAGCAGAACACTGCATCCTTACCAATCTTTAAAGCCCCCCGCCCCCAACCCCTGCCCCCTCACGTGGACTTGTCCTTCAGGCCTGTGACTAAAAAACTCACTGGCAGAAGAAAGATAAAATGGACACACTCCAAACCCTTTGAATGTTCCAGCCCACCTTGCCTCAGGTTACCCACTCCCCTCTCTACCCCAGCTACAGCCTGGGCCTCTGGTCAGGGGAGTGATCTTGCAGAATTCTACTCATGATAGTTTCCCAACATCAAAATTATTGGGAAACATATAGAAACAATAACACACATACAGCAAGAGAAGGGTTGATCTTTCACGCAGGCTCCTGTGGGAAAATGGGCTCTCTCCCTGGTTAAGAAAAACATGGGTGTGCACCCTACAAAAAAAAAAAAAATCCCAGGATGCCCAGAATGCAGTTTCTTTTCTCGGTGACGTGTTGCAGAGCACGTCAGCTGCTCCTTGTTGCTGTGCAGATCGCCCAGCCCCGGGGACAGAAGGCAGCGCTTGCTCGCACAGCTGATAGGATTAGGAGGTGGAGCGGTGTCAGCCCCGACTGAGTCCCAGAGAGCCCCCGGCGTACGGAGGTGAGGAGCCGAGGCAGAGCGGCCGTGGGGACCACGAGCTGTCCTGCTTGTGCGGTGCAGGCATCTTCTCTTGGGCAGTGTGTGTGTGTGTTGTCTTTTCTGGGAAGTTTGCAGCCTTGGTGGGGAAGCAGGGGTTCCTGTCCATAGAAGCCTGTCCTTTCGCGCTTACCTGGTCTCAGGGGGTGGCCACAGCCACCTCACAGGATCCTTGTGGGTCTCCGAGAAGATGATAGATGTGAAAGAGCTCTAAAAAACATACAAAGTTGTGGGCAGAGGAAAGGTAGAGGCCATTGAATCACAAATGTCACATCCACAAAGAACGTAATAATTCATACTAGGTTTGGAGGCATATTGATGTGGAGGTACATTTCTCTCCCCCCCCCCCCCAATCTGCAATGCCCTGTCCCTCCCCAGGCCTGGGCAGGAATGCTGTCTATAATCTTGGAAGGGTCGGTTCTAGCCTTCTCAAGCAGCTGATATTTTCTTTAAAAACCAGCATGGCATTCATGTCTAAAGGGAAAAGCCGCAAAATTACAAAGCCAGACCATAAAATACGTACGTAAGTAGGAACTGGAAATGATGCATGGGTCTATTTTGAAGCAGATGAAAGATGAATATAATGGACCGTATTAGATTATATCTCTTTGATGGTGCAATCCGAATGTTGTAAGGCATTTCTCTTCGTGACACGGGAAACAAAATGAAATTAGAGGCAACATCGAGATGCTATCCTTTGTAAAACTTGCCTTTAAGAACGGTGGAAAAACAGGCTCGGGCTCCAAAAAGTACAGAGCTAGGAGGCATTGGAGCACTAACTCATCAGCCTTTCCCTCCGCAGCAGGGTTGCTATGGTGACGAGAGGGAGCCTCTCCCCGCCCAGCCTCTCTCACTGCCTGCACTTCGGCAGGAAAAGCTTTCACGGAACACATGTTGGATTTTTTTTTTTTTTTTTTTAAGGCAACCACCTCATCATCAAATACAAAGACTTAATGGAGGCCGCTCTTTTCCCTGCGTCATTTTCAGAAGAGATGTTTGTCTCTGGGTTCTTTCTGCTGTACTGACGGGCCCCTGACGGGGTTCCAGAATTCACTCATTCATTGGGCTGCAATCTATTGAGCGCCTACTGTGAGACAGGACCTGTACTAGGCCCAGCCTCCAATCTCTGGTGAAGACCAAAAACAATAGGGAATTCTAAATGCAAGAGCAAAGCAGCTCCTCTGGGGGTAAAACAAATCCAGGTGTCCTAGTATGTAAGGGAGGGGAATCTGACCCCTCTTGGGGGATCAGGGGAGATTTCCTGGGAGAAGCTGTCTCTGAAATGAAACTTCCTGTCTCGCTCGGAGTTGAGGAGGATGTGTGGGTGGGGTGCAAGAGTTGCTCTAGACAAAGGGACCAGCATATACAAGAGTCTAGAAAAAAAGAGAGCGTATACTTCCAGAAAACAACATCCCACAGTTTGGGGGGGTCATCCATTTGTGGACGGAGGGAGTGGTGAAGGAGGAAAGGAAGGGGGAAGGATGCCTGGCAGGAGAGAAAGGCATGGCAAGAAAAGAGATTGAGGAGGTACACAAGGCTAGATAGATCACTGTGCCACAGTAAGGAGCCTGAATGTCCCTCAGAGGACATCTGGGAGATCATTAGCGGGCTTTCATGAAGAAGCATGTCTTCCTTTGGCCTTTCAGAAAGACCGGGTGCAAAAATGAAAAGCTGGCAAGAAAGGAATGAGGCAAAATTGGGAGCAAGACAATTTTAGTGAGATCACTCTTTTTTAAAAAAATATATATTTTATTGATTCTTCACAGAGAGGAAGAGAGAGGGGTAGAGAGTTAGAAACATCGATGAGAGAGAAACATTGATCAGCTGCCTGTTGCGCGTGCACGCTCACACACACACACACACACACACACACACACACACACACACGCAACAACCAAGGTACATGCCCTTGACCGGAATTGAACCTTTCAATCCGTAGGCCGATGCTCTGTCCACTGAGCCAAACCGGTTTCAGCTAGTTAGACCACTCTTGCAGTAATCCAGAATGTTTCTGGCTGAGACTTAAACTGAAGATAATGCAGTCGATCCGTGGGCAGAAGTAATCAGATTCAAGGCATTATCACCAGAGTAGCATGGGGATCACTTGTGGCTTATGCTATGTGGACCTTGGAAGGGAGAAGAAGTAGAAAATGACTCTCTGGTTCCGAATTGGCTAGCTCAGTGGAGGATGTTTCTGCTATTAGGCCCTCAGACTCCATTTTCAGTTCTCAGTAAGGAACTCAGAAGCACCTCCTGACATTAGCAGTTCATTCCTGTCAACAGTATATGTCCTCAGGCTCATAATTTTGGAAATAATAAACTGCAGGAATCATTATGGACCATTGCTTTTCTAAAGTCCATTATCTGAGATAGCGATAGAAAGTATTAATTAATTCATCTACCCCTTCCCCCCAGATAAAGAATTCTAGGATTATCAAACTCACTACTTAAGAGAGCGAGGTAGGTTAAAAAGGCATGAAGATGTATGAAGTAGAATTTCTTTGCCGGGGGGATAGTAAGAAGGCCATTGATTCCACGAATCATCTGAGGCTCTCTCTAGACTCATACTGGACTTCTGTAAACTTGATAGTTGAGGGCTGAGAAAAATGCTGTGGGGAGGATAGACAAATGGGGGATGTTGGAGATTCAGATAGGACTTTTATGGACCATAGTCCTCCCATGCAGGACAGACACTTGGCTGTAAGGATCAGTCTGTCCCCCACCCACACTGCTACTTACAATACTCTCCAATTCTGAATAAATTTCCAATACAATACTCGCCAATTCTGAATAAATTTATAATATCTGGTGATGGAGCTCCATCATCAGACAAGGTTTAAGTATACCCAAGGTAAAAATCAACCCAGGCCCATGATCCAGCTGATAGGGCCTATTCTAAGGCCTCTGATGGATAGCTTCCGGAGCTTTTTTGAGTAAATTTGCCTCACAAATGATTTTTCTGCCAGTCATGGAAGAGACAAATATTGAACAGACACCTTGGAGGGGACGTAACTGCCCTTTGGAAAGTTCTGTCAGTCAGGCACAGCTCTTTTGTATTCTTTACCGAATCCTCAGAGCTATCCTTTGAGGAAGATATTACTATTATTGTTGTTGTCATTGTTGTTGTTGTTATCCCACAATTTTACGAGGCATATCTGAAGACCAACAAGGTCAAGGTTCAGACACCACGTATTCAGAGTCGGTCAAGGAATTTAGGCATGAAGGTATCAAAGGGAGTGAGGTGGTGCCTTGACCCCGGCTTTCTGAGGTCAAGGGCAGTGACCTTCCTGTAGCCGTGGCCCTGGGCTGCCTCCTGGCGGCTGCGAGCAGAGTTGGAGGAAAGGCCCGCAAGCACTACCTTGTCCTTCTTTGCCTGGGGCTGGGGCTGGGGCGCTGCCCAGCCAAGGACGTTCCCATGCAAACCCCCCAAGGAGACTCGCAGACCTTGGAACCCCGGATCCCAGCAGCGGTGTCAGCTCTGCAGCGTTCGCTTGGCTGGGGCCCGGTGGAGAGGGACCCGCCCTGGCGCTCTCTCTCTCTCTCTCTCTCTCTCTCTCTCTCTCTCTCTCTCTCTCTCTCTCTCTCTGCGGGCGAGGTCATTGTGGGGAGCTGGATGCTGACTTGGGGGACAACTTCCCCTTCTCCATTTGGCCCGCAGTGAGGGCGCAGCTTATCTCCGCTCTCCCACCCGACGTGCAGAGCCTTCCACCCGGACCCCGGTGCCCAGAGGAGGGTGCCGCCGGGCACCGCCCAGATGCAGAAGTCGGGAGCCTCGCCTGCCCCCACCCCGCTCGGGTCCGGGTCCGCAGAGAGGGCGGGCGGGGCCCGCGGAGACATCAGGGAGGGGGGTGGCGGGCGGGGCCGGCAGGTGCGGGGCGAGGGGGGGTGCCCGGGGCGGGAGGGGGCGGCGCCCCGGGGCGGCCGCGGCGGCACCACGTGTCCGGCCGGGGCGGGGCGGGGCGGGCGGCCGTGCGCCCGGGGAGCGGAGCGCGCACCGCGGCGGCGGCAGAGGCTGCGGCGTCCGCCCCGCAGAGCCCGCCCCGCACCCGCTGCTCCCCGCGCCCCTGCCCGGCTCCCCGCGCCCCTGCCCCGCTCCCCGCGCCCCTGCCCCGCTCCCCGCGCCCCTGCCCCGCTCCCCGCGCCCCTGCCCCGCTCCCCGCGCCCCTGCCCCGCTCACCGCGCCCCTACTCCGCGCGCAGGTGCCTCCCCGGCGGCGGCTGCAGCGGCAGAGGCGGCGCCAGGAGCGGGCGGGCGGCAGCGCGATGGGACCCCTCCGAGAGCCCAAGGTAAGGAGGGCGCGGGGGCAGCGCCCTGGGCGCGGGTGGGGTGGGTGGGTGGCCCCTGCGGGGCGAGGAGCGGCCAGAGGTGAGCTCCGGGGGGTGGAGGGTAGGGGGGCAGGGAGGGGGGTAAGCGTTTAGAGTCGGGGCAAAAGGGGACTAGGGGTGGTGGGTGGGACGCGGGGGAGACGGGGGGTCTGGGGGGCATTTGCCCAGGTGATGAGATGGGGAGATGGCCCTGGAGGAACGGGTTTGGGGGGTTGACAGGAGCGGGAACGAGATTGCCTTTGGAAGGGTGCATCCCAGCATCCCGAAATTGAGGCTTTGCCATCTAGCTCTCCATCGCGATCCGGGGTGAGCGTGTGTGCTGCGGGGGAACCCGTTGGGTGTTGGGTGTGTTGGAGGGTGAGCCCGAAGGACAGCCTGGGAGCGCCCGGCTCCGGTCCGGGGTCCACAGGGTGCTGCCTGCTGGGGGGGGGGGGGGCTGGTGTGCAGAGGGGATGCGGAGGAGACGGGGTGGGGCCCGCGCCCCTGGGCGGGCTGGGTGCCCTAGATGCCGGGGCGCCCTTAGGGGTTCCCGCTTTCCCCGGGGCTCCTGCCCTGGGGCGGGGGGGCCGGAGGGGCTGGCTTTGGCAGCGACCCTGCCCCGTAAGCAGCGTGGAAAGGAGCAAGAGGTCATGTTTGGAAAGAGGGCTTGTTACCTAATCCGCAGCCTGTTTTCAGTGGCAGAGGTCAGAGGGAGCCCTGGCTTTGCTTTTTTTATTTTTTATTTATTTATTTATTTATTTATTTTTGCCAAGAGCTCCTCCTAGGAATCCATTTTAATAAGGCGGAGAGTGGTGGTGACTTCAGAAGCCCGTTCTTCTTCCAGACGATGCCCTATGTTGGCCAGGCATCGGTATTGACCTCTTTGAGCCTCAGTTTCCTCATCTGTAAATAGGAAGATGCATGAGTGTTCTCTGTGGCCCGGTTCTGTCTGTGATAAGGAACAGATGAAATAATGGCCGGGAAAGCGCCTTAAAATGGGAAAGACATTGCCAGGATATTACTTTTTAATGCTTTTTTTTTTTTTTTTTTAAACCAAGACATGGTCCTCTGTATTTGATGCTGTGTTTTTTTAAAGGAGACAGAAAAATCTCTTCCTGTGGGAAAACAAAAGCTGACCGTGGTGTAAAAGGTGGAGCCATCTTACAGAGTATTGGATTTTTGTTTGCTTGTCTGTTGGCAACTGGCCTCGCGTGCCAGGTTATTAATGAATAATGAAGAGCCTGGCTGGCCGAGGAGGGGTTGGGAGATAAGGCTGCGGGACCTAGCAGGAGGGAATTGCTCCAGGTACAGGGGGTCTGAGGGAGGAGGTAGGATGGCAGAAGTCATGTGGTCACTGCTGATTCAGGGACAGCAAAATGGAAGTCTGGAGGAAATCAAGTGGTGTGCTGAGAGTCACAAAAAGCCTCTGAGACAGTCCCAAGCTTGAAGGTGACAGAAAAAGCCAGGGGGAAGGTGAGTCAGATACATACCTGCCAGCGTACATGGCTGTGTGTGTGTGTGCATGCACATCCTTGCTGGGGTGTGTGCTCTGCAGGAGATGAGGAGGGATAGCTCAGTGGAAGAGCTTTGGAATTCCTCTCAGCAGCTGAGATAGGACTATGAAGAGTCGGTTTTCAGAAATGTGATTTCTTAGGAACTGAGCCCAGACGGAAGAGCGTGGAGCTCAGCCGGGGAAACGAGTTTCCTTTTTTTTTCTTTTCGCTGTCCGGTTTTGAGAAGCAGAGAGTGCATCGTGAGAAGGAGCTTTCCCGAAGCCGGATTCCCCGTCTGATTCTCCGGCCCCACCTGCCCCAGCAGCAGCACAAAGTGTCCCCCGCCTCCGAGTCTCCCTTCTCTGAGGAGGAGAGCAGAGAGTTCAACCACAGCAGCTCCGGGCACTCAGGGCGCACCATTAGCAGCAACAGCTTCTGTTCAGGTACAGTACGGAACGTGTGCACTGCAGGTACATGGCGAATGTGTGCACTGCAGGTACATGGGGAATGGGCCAGGGGTACGGAATGTGTGCACTGCAGGTATATGTGGAATGGGCCAGGGGTATGGAATGTGTGCACTGCAGGTATATGGGGAATGGGCCAGGAGTACGGAATGTGTGCACTGCAGGTATATGGGGAATGGGCCAGGAGTACGGAACGTGTGCACTGCAGGTATATGGGAAATGTGTGCACTGCAGGTATATGGAGAATGGGCCAGGAGTACAGAATGTGTGCACTGCAGGTATATGGGGAATGGGCCAGGGGTACGGAATGTGTGCACTGCAGGTATATGGGGAATGGGCCAGGGGTATGGAATGTGTGCATTGCAGGTACATGGAGAATGGACCAGGGGTATGAAATGTGTGCATTGCAGGTACATGGAGAATGGACCAGGGGTATGAAATGTGTGCACTGCAGGTACATGGCGAATGGACCAGGGGTATGAAATGTGTGCACTGCAGGTACATGGCGAATGGGCCAGGAGTGGGCCCTGAGAGCCTAGAACTAGATTTCTGTTATTGGGATGAATTGGCTATGGTTGCACCTTTTTGGCCGTTTGACCTACAAATACAGCAGTTCCATGTGGTTCAACCCAATGGAATTTCATACCTGTTTTTACGTTATTTTAGTTGATAATTTACAATGCAAACTCTAACTTCTTGTTCCTATGACTGCTTAAGAGTGTATTCCTTTGTTGCCCAGCCCATGTGGCTCAGTGGGCTAGAAACTCATCCATCCCGTGCACAACAAGGTCTCAGTCCCATTCTGGGTCATGACACATGCCAGGGTTGCACGTTTGATCCCTGGCCCCGTTTGAGGCATCCAATCAATGTTTCTCTCTCTCTCTCTCTCTCTCTCTCTCTCTCTCTCTCTCTCTCTCTCTCTCTCTCTCTCTCTCCCTCTCTCTCTTTCTCTCTCTCTCTCTCTCTTTCTCTCTCCCCCATTCTCCCCCTCTCCCTCCCCCTCCCTTTCTCCTTTCCGCTCTCTCTGAAATCAATGGGGGGAAATAGACTAAAAATAAAAAGAAATGTATTCCTTTGTTAAATCTAGAGAACATATCCGCTTGCATTTTTACACTAACAACCTTCCTAAGCCTGCGGACTCCCAAAGATAAAGCAACTCCTGAACCTCAGGACCCAGGTTTCTATTGCCAGGACCCAGGCCTGGCCTGGAGTTTTGACGGAGGGGAAGAGGACAAGCTTTGTAATCTTTCAGGCCTGCGTGGGGGATCCCTGGCGGTTTCGCCGTTTACAAGCTGTGTGCCTTGGGCAAGTTGCTTACGCTCTTTAAACCTTAGTTGTTAACATCCATAAAGTGAGATGGTAATACCCACCTTGTAGAGTGGCTGTGAGGTTGAGTGAAACCACATACCTGTGTGTACTCCTAGCTCAGTGCCTGGCGTACAGAGGTGCTTCACAAGTGATGGTTCTTGATGGGAAGATCTAGGGAATCAAGGAGGTTTCCTTCAAGTTCTGAGCATATTGGTAAACGTACACATCCCTTCATAGCTCTGGAAGGTGCCACCGTAGTCACTGGGCAGAGCCTATTATCCTTACTCACTGAAGCACAGACTTGGAAGGATTTGAATTCTCTCCGAAGTATTAGGAATTTGGGTAAAAATTACACGAGTGACTATCTTACGATTCATGAAAAATGCTTCACATTGGATCATTTTTAGGACTTTTAGGGAAAATGTCATTTGAAGATTATGCTATTGTTAGAAGGGATATGTGAATCAAGATCCTGTGATGCATGCCCTAATTTAGCAGGCTGTAATATTTCATTATATTTAGTATTGGTAAACTACATTTTTTTTCAGGGATTTTAAAACGCGACTTTGGATTTATTATATACTTAGCAAAAGAATTCCACCTGTAACTTGTATAGTAGAAATACTGTACTGCCTAATTTTTTTTTTTCCTTTGTAAAGCCTTAGGTTATCTGCTTGGTTCTGAAAGAAAATTCTGTCCAAGTGTTACATTTTAATATTTATGGCTATTGGAATGGTATGAGTCTAGATTAAAATGGAAGTCACTGATGGGTCTGCATGATAAGGAAGACAACTGACCAGCTGGAGCAGTTAAGACCCTCAGGAACTGGAATCGTATTTGCAGAATGTAATGCTGTTTACTTTCGCTCCATTTGGAGCTCAGGAATCACCAGGGAATAGCATTTCAAACTGACGTGGCTTTGTTTACATAACTCGGTTCCACATTTATTACCGATATTCTCTCCCCCTCATCATTGTCTCTAACTGACTTCAGGGTGAGTAGAGTTATCAGGAAAAAAAAAAAATGAAAAGCTGGTCAAAACGGAACTCCAAATGTATTTTAGAAAAATGCATTAGACAAACCAATAACCTTATTACTTTAGGTCGTGAATCACTCTCTCCAAGATCACCCCTCCTCCCCAGGGGCCCGGTCTCCCACGAAGGCCATAATGCCGTACATGAAAATCGAAAGCAGGTATTGATCCTTCTGCCACTAACTAGCTGAGAATTGAGTGGCGGAAGCATCTAATGATGGGTGTCTGTAAAGCTGCCTCTCCATTGTCAGCCTCTATCCTGTCTCCTGATGGGACCCCATTCCTCCCTGGGCCTTCTCCTCCTGTGGGGGTGACTCCCCAAGGTTTGGGCTGATGCTTTTTCCTTCTTTGCCTGCCTTCCCTGCAGGGCCCCGACAGACCCCATGAGGATGCTGAGTGCTGCACCAATTCAAATGGACAGGAGCAAGGCCTTGGGGGGCGTGTTAATGATGCTACGAGAGGTCCGCAGGTGGATGGGAAATAAATGGGTTGGTACTGTGGGGAGCATTAAAGAGGCAGGCGGTGGGGTAGAAAATGCAAAACAGTCCAGCCAGCAGATGGGAGTAGCTGGTTTTAATCCAGCCACTAAGGCCAGACTATGTGCTGGTTACTTCATCATGGCAGTTAAGTCAGAGACCAGGAAACATGCACTCATTGCAAAAGCCATCCTCTGCTAGAAGGATACTGGGATCTTTGAGAGGTGTCCGGTACCACCATAGCTTTGTGAGTTTACAGCGGTCATTCTGCATTAGCTTATCCCCTACATAAATCATCACCCTTGCTAACGGGAAAGGGGGCATGTGGAATCAGGGGGAGATGCAATTGAATGTGAAACTTACCTTTCAAGGACTGCAAACGAGGGACTCTTTCCCCAAATCTGCGTCAAAGGCAATTCATTCATTGTTAAGAGTATCCTATGTTCTAAGATACTCAAGTTATTCAAAGAAGGATACTAGGGAGTTGACACAAAGTTAGTTTATTTAATATAAAGGATTATCCTCTCTTTGGGAGTCTGGCTCTGTGTTAATAAGGAAAACATCATGATAATGGGTTTGCTCTCCACCCTCACCCTCACACTTTTCTTTTCATCCTACAGACCAGTGACATTAAACAACGGGGACACTGTTTTCAAAGTGGCCTGTCCATTTTTATCTTTCTCTGTTCCTTCCCGCCACTTCCTTCCCATGGGAACCTTGACAAGGAACATTTAATGACTTGATATTCTATATGCTAATTTGTATGTTGTATCCTATCTCATTTCAGGAAGGAGTTGTGTGTGACCTTTTGCAATTCATTTGGGGTGTGTCCCCAAAGAGCCCTTCTTTTAATAGCTTCTTATGGGCAGGATTTCTTTGAAGATGTGTGTGTGTGTGTGTGTGTATGTGTGTTAGAGTGTGTGAGTGTGTGTGTGTATGTGTGTTAGAGTGTGTGAGTGTGTGTGTGTGTATGTGTGTTAGAGTGTGTGAGTGTGTGTGTGTGTATGTGTGTTAGAGTGTGTGAGTGTGTGTGTTAGAGTGTGTGTGTGTGTGTTAGAGTGTGTGTGTGTGTGTGTGTGTGTGTGTGTTTGAGAGTGTGTGTGTGTGTGTGTGTGTGTGTGTTCTGCAATGTACTCAAACACCATTCTATGAAAAGTCTACTGCTTACAGCTGGTATTCAGCTTAGTCATGGAGTCCTTAGTTGGGTGCAGTTAAATTGATATTGTACATATTGGAGGCCAGGCCCTATTTTGTGTACATAGCAATAAAACATACATTTTTAGTAAATATTAACTAACACTTTCTTTAAAAAAAAAGAATATACAAGCATAAGGAAATATAGTTCACAGCAACAAAATACCTGCTTTTATGTCTTATCCTTTATGTTTAATCAATTTTTAACCAATGTTTTGGCACAAATTTCCTCTATCTTTTCCCCTAGAACTCCCTGCCCGTGTTTCTTGTTTTAACATTCCCATGAGAAGTGATAAAATCCATATTTATGACTTGTGTCCTGCGTGTGGCCCACTGCATCTAAGTCTCTCTCTCTCTCTCTCTCTCTCTCTCTCTCTCTCTCTCTCTCTCTCTCTCATTGGTTAATTGTGTTTGTCATTGTACCAGGACTCCAGCCATTATAAGAAAAGCTGATGACCTGGGTGAGTAAATCAGTCACATACATCAGTCACCTGACATGGCTAGCAGCGTGCTGGGCATTCCTCTTCACTTAGTTGAGGCAATAATTGCCCCCTTAGAACTGGGAGGCAGATGGATTGCTGGGCTTTAAGCTCGTTCTCCTTGGGGTGCCTTGTAAACATGGCAGGTGGAACAAATTATGCGTAGAGAGCACTGTTTTATGGGAGGCCAGTGATTTCTCTGAGTTATTCCCATGTTTCTAATCTGCCCACACAGGCAAATGTATGACTTAACCCATTAAACACTGTCTACCCCACCAATACACTAAATGGCCAGAGTCAGAATTCTTTGCAGTCCAATCCTGAGGAAGATAGCTGCAGGAAGTGTTTTGGTTTCTGCAGGGGCTGTGGAGGAATCCTTCTTCGAGGGCCCATGACCTAGAAGCCATCGCTGTTGCTGTTTGTGGGAAGAACAATTAAGGCAAATTACAACCTGACTGGTGCTCTGCCGAGGCATGACAACGCCTCCAA